TAGCTGGTGTATAATATTCTAAGATAACGTATATACCATATCTTGCTTAACAGTTCCCTTATCAAGGGACATTTAGTTTGGCCTTTATATGATGAGTGTTTCTTTCTTACGTAAGATTCAACAACGAACACACTTGAACCCATCTTGTCCTGTTTTAATGAGTGTATTCATCATCAAATTTCTTGAACTGAAATTGCTTGGTCAAGTGGCACAGGCATTTAAAATTTCCTAGTATTGCCAGCTTGCCCTTCAAAAAGTCTGTGCCACTTAAAATCTTTTTTAAGATTTTACACTCCCATCATGGTATATGAACAATGCTCCTCTTCTCTGAGTTTGACTGGAAGACTTGGAAGATAGTCGTAGTTTACTTCTGTTGCTATAAGCCCCATCCCAGAGCCTGTTGCTTCTTCTGTGACTCTAGAGGCTGGTCAGGTTGGTCAGAGCCAAAGGAGCAATACAACTTAAGTTGCCACGTGGGGTGGTAGAAAGAATACAAAACAGAGTAAGAGATCTAGTTTCTAGGACCATGTCTCTGAGGCATTGGACAGGCTACTTTAAACCTGTGGATGTCCATTTGATTATCAACGAAATGAAGATCATAATTGTGGCAGAACAATGTTGTGGTTGTTGTGAGGCTCAAGCCAGGAGGTCCAAAAGTGGTTTGTAACCCGAGAAGCAGGATACACATGCCAAGTGGTTATTCAACTAGTGTGGTGATTATGTCCTTTCTCCAATCAGTGAGGTTGGAGAAGGAAACAGGGGAAAGTGGAAGTTGAGTAGGAAACATTACACAGATGAAATCTTTAAGACATTCTTAGCTTCCCTGAAAGTTCCCATGCAATTGTCCTATATTCTTGGAGAATAAACCACATTGGTAGCAAAGACTGCTTTATGGTGTCAAGAAGAATTGGGGCACCTTACTGGCTCATTTGGTTAAGCATCTAACTCTGGGTTTTGGCTGATCTCATGGGTCCTGAGATCGAGCCCCCAGTCGGGCTCTGTGCTGAATGGAGAGTCTGCTTGAAGATTCTCTCCCTCTGCCCCTTACTCTACTTGTGTGCACATGTGAATTCTCTCTCTCGCTAAAATCAGTTAGTCAATCAATCTTAAAAAGAAAAAGAAGAATATGGGATATTGTCCTTTGATGGGATGACTGAAGTCTTCTATGCTGGGCCTGGCTCCTAAGCCCAGTCCTCTTTCTTTTTTTAAAGATTTTATTTATTTATTCATGATAGACACAGAGAGAGAGAGAGAGAGAGAGAGAGAGAGAGAGAGGCAGAGACATAGGCAGAGAGAGAAGCAGGCTCCATGCAGGGAGCCTGATGTGGGACTCGATCCTGGGTCTCCAGGATCAGGCCCTGGGCTGAAGGCAGCGCTAAATGGCTGAGCCACCTGGGCTGCCCCCCAGTCCTCTTTCTATGACACCTCTATGCTTTAATTTGTCAGGCACCTAATAGGATTTTGGCCCTGTGCTACTTTCCATAATCACCAGTGAGAGAAGAAATACACACACGAAATGCTTAAGTAACCATGTGTGGTGACTGCATAAATAGCTCTGAGTTATTGCTGAGGTATATGGGAGGATTAGAGTGAAATCAAATACCTTTTAATTACAATTTAAATCAATAGCGCAGAAGAACAAGTTAAATCATGAGTCAGAAAAAAATCCAGTTTTATGTCTTTTTTTTCTTTTTTTTTCAGTTTTATATCTTAAAAAAAACATTCTTATTGTTTAAAATAACCCAAATAAGTGCACTTTACAAATCAGAGATGTAATATTAAGTGTTCATTCATTTAGATCAGTGATTTTTAAGTTACTTTAACCATGATGTAAAAATAAAAAATCAATCTGATGGGCTACTTTCTTTAACCCCAAAGTTAATTAAAAAGATATCTCTAAAATCATGGAAAGCAGAACCATCATGATTTCAACCTATTAGGGATTTGAGGAGGAGGGTGAGGGGTGTTTTTGCACTGGGAAGGCAACCACCAAACACACACAAAAAGGCTATTTAAAAATGCCTGATTTTTAAAAATTACCAATCTAGTATACCCCTTTCCCCCCGAAAGCAAATGTGTATTTAAACAAAACCCATAATACTGTGTCTCATATTTTTAAAAAGCATGGGCCTTAGACTCAGATCCAGATACAAATTCCAGCTCTGCGGCTTCTTACCATGTTCATGTAATAGTCATGTATGCATAAACATATTTTCAATTACGGAAAATAAAGATAAAATGCAAAGTGATCCTTTAAAAAATCTGGAGTATATAGTTTATTTAGTCTTTGCCTCCCTGTTTCCGGCCTTGTCTTAGGTTGGAAGGGTCATGGTTGTTCTTTTTTAAACTTCCAGCATGAGCATAATTTTAAGTTAATAAGTCCAAAGAGGTATCCCATTCTCTCAATTTCCCCAGATGTCTTCTCTGTGGACCTAGAGGTCTGTTGTGTGACTTTTCCTAGAAGGACCTTGGCAAATATATTAATTAGTTCACCCTCCATCTTGAAACTTGTTTTGCTAGCATTATGAAGAAATGATGGCCAGATGTTATGGGGTGTTGAGAAACATGGAGGAAAGTGTACTGTGGAGGGTCATAACTCATTTTGACCATTTAAGTATGTCAGGATATCTTCATAAAAATAAATTTGCAAGGGGAGAGGGAAAACTACCCGTAGACTTTTATCCGATTGTGATAATTTTATGTCCTCTTCTGATCATTTCTATGGGTGTATTTTACATCATTATAATTTGAATGTAATTAGTATTTTGCAATTTTTGGTCATTTTTGATGAGAGCTTATTGTCTCCTTGCTGGAATTTACCATAATTTATATAATGTAGCCAAATCCTGGTGGTGGGAGGTGGATATGGATTTTGGATTAGCAAGGGATGATTTTTGGAGTTACATTTTAAGGTTTGCACATGGGTAAAAACCTGTACTTATTGTTAAAGATGAGAGGCCAAACCGAAGGTTTTAGGGAGAGCCACATTTTAATGAAATTAAATATATGTATATATCTATATAAACTACTTGACGTAGTTCTATTACTATTATTATTTTGTCTAACGCTCCATGTTTTGAAATGTGTGTTTCATGAGCAGAAAGGTAGTTTTCCTGTCTAAATTGTCATCTCTGAACGCCACTGCCATATCTGCCGGAGTCTACTTTGTATTCCAGAGACTCTTATCAGTGTAACCTGTTGGCCTGACAGGTGGTTTCCCAAATTCAAACCATTTTCCCCAGTAAAGAGTGCCCGTGTAGCTGGACGGATTTCCTCCCCTGGAAATTATTCCGAAATTCCAATCTTCCTGAGGGGAGCCGTTTAAGGAAGATGCACAAAACGCCCCGCCCCTCCCCACTGTCAGGTGCGCCTGTCCCTGTCTCTCTCTCTCTCTCTCTCTCTGTCTCTCTCTGTCTCTCGATGGCCCCACCTCTTTCTAGACAACCCTGACAGTGTAGAAGTTTCCATCTCCTTTTCCTTTCCCTCTCTCTGTTCCTTCCCCTTCAGGTTTTTTTTTCCCCCTCCCAGGCGCTTCCTGCCTGGAAACAAAAGATTGGTCCCCAGCAGCCCACTCAGGGCGATTTTAGTTTTCTGCTCACCCTCTGATTGGCCCGCGTGCGATGCAGAGCCCGGGTGACGTCATAGCAGACAAGAGCCAGGGAGCGGTTGCCGAGCCGGGCTCTGCCGCGGGCGGGCAGCTGTTGGCAGCGCACCGTCTGGGGGCTCGCGCGGGGGGCTGCAGCTTTTCCCGGCCCTGAGCAGGTGTGCGAGGCCGGGAGGAGAGGCGGGGTGAGCGGGCCGGGCCCGGGGCTGAGGCTGCGGCCCCCCCCCCGCCAGCCCCGCCAGCCCCGCCAGCCCTAGCACTCGGAGGTAGAGGAAAGGTCTGGACAGGGTGGCTGGACCAGTGGCAGGTAAATCCCGCGACTCAGGGCGCCCAGCTCGCTCGGGGGAGGGTGTGGCGCTGCCGGGCAGATTTTTCTGCCTTCCCGGGGGCCCCTCTCCCGCTCTCGGAGGCACTTCAGCCTTGGGTCGCCTCCGTGGCGTCCCCGGAGCCCCGAGACCCGGCGCGCAGTTCGCCCGATCGCGCTTGGCGGCCGCGGACGAGTGGGTGTGTCAGGGCCACTCTCGCAGGGCGCGGACCCCGTTGCTGGGGCAAGCCCTGGACTCGCCGGCAGGGGCCTGGGCCGCTGGAGGCCAAATCCGCCCCCAAATCAACATAAGCCCGTTAGACTTACACCATCTTTCCGCCCCCTCCCCCAGCCACAATAGCGACGCCCCCCCCCCCCCAAAAAAAAAACCACCAAGGGGAGGAGGTGTGGCCGCGGCCTGGCCAAGTCCAGGGGAGAGGGAAGAGCCCAACTAGAACAAACAGAAAAAGTGACGATTTTCTTCTCTGGGCGCCCTTTCTTTTCTTTTTCTTTACCCTCCTCCTCTTTTTTGGTGGTGGTGGGGGGAGGGTAATGACAGGACGACTTATTTCTTCTCATGTGAAGATTGGAATGATGCAGTACTCTCCCTAAAAAGCCTGGGGCCCCTAATTAGCCTTTGTCTTTGTCTGGGGAGGCGCAGGGGTCATTAGGGGTCATCAGGTCCCCTGCCCCCCAACCCTGTCCTCAGCTCACAGCGGGCCTTGCCCTCAGTTTGTGAACTGGCTCTGGCAAGATGACTGCCACACTTTGGGGCAGATTGAACATTTTAGATTTTTACTCTTGTAGGTTTTCCTTCCCTAGGTGGTGTTTGAGGGACGGGGTGGGAGGGTGGTGCCCAGGGAGGGAGCAAGAGGCTGCTTTTGATTTTTTTGGTCCCACCTTCCAGAATCCAGTGGCAGACTCTGGACTTGAGGGTTCTAGGCTGTGGTCTGTAGAAGCAAAGGAGAGAAGGGTGAGTGGCTTGGCTTTGGGAAGCATGAAGGGGTTGGTTGCAGTGTTTTTTTTTTTTTAATGGCTTTCATCAGAGAAGCCTTTAGCCATGCTAGTCTTGCTCCCCCCATGGTTTTACAGACTCAAATCCAGGCCAGCTGTATGGCTGTCTGAGGTGTTGGAACAGAAGGAGGTCCATTCCTGTTGGTGACAACACTGTGGCCCTGTTCTGGGATGACTGAGGTATAAAGGTCAGTGCAGTTTTCACTGGGCCATTTGCAAAATTATAATTGGGCAGGTCTGTGATTTGGTACTTGAGGCCCCTACCCCAGGGGCACCTCTGGGTGTAGGGGCTCAATCTGGTAATGGATGATTAATAGCCTGGGGCTTGGAGGGAGAGCCATGGAAGCCTCTGTTTTCTAGATATAAATGTCATACCTCCCTTCTCCATGAATGGGGCAATATGGAAAGAGACTAGCACGTTTGCTGGGTAAAAGACAACAGCTGAAGATCTCGAGGCCAGAAGGACCTTGAGATGTCAAGGAGTGGACCCCCCCCCCAACCTCCAGGCAGACAAGTGGGCCTCGTAGGGAGGTTCACTTGTGATACACTTGCAGGCAACGGTCACAACACCCTAAAGGTGTGCCAACTAGCTGACCATTACCACAGGTTGCAGATTTTCTGGTTGGAGGCAGAATTGGCATACAAAGCAAACAGGCATGCTGAGGTCTTTGGGGAGGGAGAGGATAGTAGATGTGACAAGTGAGAAAAATGAAGAATAATTGGAGGGATGGGGTGCGGTGGGGAAGTGCTGCCCCTGTCAGAGACTCTGTTATTCTGAGGTCAGAGGCTAAGCTACTGTGAGGTCAAAGAGGGTGGCCAAGGCAAAAAGAAGTCAGAACTAGAAATCTAAAAAGAGGTAAGATCAGATGGAGCAGGTAGGAACAAAGCCATAGAGAACAAGAAGAGAGCTGTGGTCTTACCGGGAACCCAAAGGCCCCGATTTCCCCAGGTGAGATGGTGAAATTTTGGTGGTCAAAGCACATGTCGTTCATCCCAGACTTAGGGGATGATTTTCTTGATATGTAGGGAATTGATAGCATTCCCATCCGTATAACCCACCTTCGGGAACTAGTAGCTTTGGTCATAGGAAGGAGAAGAAACTCAGTGAGCAGTGGACTTCACAATGGCTCTTTCCTCCTGGGTAAGGAGAAGGAATGGCAGGGTTGGGGTGGGGGGTGGGCCTGATCCCAAAGGAGATTTGGGGAGCTTTGAATCTGCCCAAGACAGGTAGGTTGACTATTTTTACATGGGGAGGGCCAAGGCCAGGTCTGTGGTCCCTGTTGTAGCCATAGGAGTATCTGCCTGTGTTCCAAAAATGCCCTCCTTCCCAGGGGCCCATGGGACCCCGTGCAGGTGAGGGATGGTGAAAACCACTGCCCTAGAAGGTAAGTGCACCTGTTGAGGCTTCTGGGGTACCCTGTTGTCCCCCAACCTCCCCACCTGCCAGAGGCTAGGCGGTTCCCCCTGCAGGGCCTGGGGTGGACTCGCCTGCCAACTCTGCATGATGTGATTTCTCCAGCAGGGGGCACGAAAGGGTGTGCAGTCAGGGCCAGAGTCCTCTGGTGTGAAGCTGGAGCCTTCCTATGAACTAACAGCCTTATGTTTCAAATCTGATTTTGGGGTACTAGAGAACCAAAGAACACCTCCTCCCCTCCCCCCGGGCCTGGTAGTCTGTTTCCATTCCTCCTGCACCCCAGGACTTTGGAAGGCATTTGCATTTACATCTCAAGTAATGATTACTCCAGTCACTAATACCCACAGCCTAACCCAGAGTTTAATTGGAAATGTTAATCGGGACAATGGATCCATGTCTGATTTGCACATTCAGTCAATTATCTGCAGGTTGGGGCAATCTGTGTTGTACCCGAGGGACGTGACAAGGGGCAAAATGGCATAACTCCAGTTGCAGCTGCAGGTGGGAAGCCAAAATGGGGGAGGTAGACCTTGAAGACCTGAAAGAGATGAAGATCATTCCCAAGGTGTGGCCACAGAAAAGCCTGGGCCGCTGATCATTGAGACAGAGCAGGACTAACCGTCTTGGAGCTCACACAGTGGAGAGGGAGGCAAGGTTTTTTTGCCACGCTGGGAGGGTGCTGTATTTGGAGAAAGAAGGTTTTTTGTTTTGGGTTTTTTTTTGTTTTTTGGTTTTTTTAGAGACTAGAGGACAGGGAGCTGAGGTAGAACAAAAACCCTGGGAGTCAGGAGGCTGGTGGTCTGGTCTGCTTCTGCCCCTCCTTGAGCCTTACTTTCCTTGGCTTTGAATGATGCGATTGGATGAAGTGGTTTCTGAGATGGTCATGACATTTTAGAAAGTGGGTCTGTTTGTTCTTGGTCATGAAGGCAGGCCCACCATAGGACATCCCCCCCCCCAAAAAAAAATCCATTTACCCTTTTAAATCTCACTTTTTGGTATACCCTCCAATCTGGGGGAAATCCATACAAAATGAACCTCCAACCACGACACACATTCCATCTCCTTGAGCAGCGTGGTTTTATTTTGATTTCATGTCAATGGGAAACAGGAGGGAGAAGGGAAGCCCAGGTGGAGAATCTGCTAGGGAACCTATAACCAGCCCCTGAGAAGCTCTGTGGGGATTTTATATAGATCTTGGGGGGGGGGCGGTGGGGGTGCAGATAGATACTAGTGGTGCCAACTCCCTGATTCAGCCTCAAAACCGAAGGGCCCAGATGAGGGTGAAGTAAGGCCTGCTTAGGATGTGTATCCTCTTCTTTCTCCCTCCTCTGTGAGCCAGGTGGACTTTCTGGAATTCTGCTTCTACGAGAGACACTACCCCTAACTGCCTGCACAATCGCCCCCTCTAGTGGCCTCTGCGGGAACACCTTTGGCAGAGCTTCCCATGTGTCCCCTGGCCCGGCTCCCTTTGCCAGCGCTAATCCCTTGGGCAGTTGTTAACTCCCTGCCCCTGCGGAGAAGGGCACCAGTTCTTCCAGATGTCTTGAAGGAGAAACTGAGGCAGCTGCAGCTCCCTGCAGGCCCTTCTCATATATGGATGGGTCCGGGGGTTGAGCAAGGGTGCCATCTCCCTAGCACTTAGTGTCCTCCTTTGGGCTTCACAAAGGTTCCAGAATTCCTTTCCCTGCAATCTTTAGTGCTGGGCCAGGCACCTGCTATGGGAGGGCCTGCGGTAGAGAGAGTGGTTGGCCATAGCTTCCTGCCCCCCCCCAAAATGGCAACCCTAGTCTCCAGTCAGAGATGCTGGCAGGAAGCTGGAGTGCAGCAAAGCTGGGGTGCTGGTAGGCACACAATGGGTGCACTGATCCCTACCCCAGCCCCAGTAGGAGGCTAAGCCACAGGTGCAGACACAAGGTGTGATAAACATACAACATGATACAGACACATAATATGGCAGAGACATGTGTTACAGAATATGGATTAGAAACATGGCACACACTTACAGGTATACACAGAACCACAGCACATCCACAGTACATAACAGACCCCGTATATGTGCACCTGATAACAAAAACATGACTGCACACACACACCCAACATGATACAGACTTGACACACACAAAATAGCGATAGGCATGACATGGCGTACACACGACCAGGCACAGGCACGCAGGGCACACAGCTACTGTGGGATGCAGAAAGCAGCACAGATTCCACCCTGCACGTACTCAAACACAGGGCCACATCGCCACACTCCCAACAAAACACATCCCCAACGGGTGAGAAGAGTGTGACCACCAGGTGGAGCACTCACTGTGTCCTGCCAGTCTCCCCCCACTGGCTAGGGCTGTGTAACTGGTGGATTGGAAGCAGGCTGCCATGCAGTTAATGAGAGGCTGAAGCGAGGTGGAGGCAGGTGGAAGGAAAGCTCAATCTTGTACAGGAACCTAGAGGTGCTTGGTTGGTCCAGGCTGGTGCATCCACTGCCCCCTCCAATCTTGCGTTCTAGCACTGTTCCCCACCTCCATGGGAGCTTTCTGCCATCCCCGGGCTCAGGAGACTTCTTTTAGTGGCCATCATTCTTGAGCCCCCTTCCAGTCCTGCCCCTCTCTGGAGCTTTGGTGGCTGTTACTCACCTACCCCCACCCCACCCCCTTGCAGGATGAGCTCATGCAGCCAAGGACCTGATTGGCACACCACTTAGTGGCTCAGTGGGTGGCAGTTGGAAAGGCTGCTTGGAGGATGCGAGTGGGAGGCACTCAGGGAATGCCAGGGCCTCTGGGGGACAGATGGGTGGCCGTGTTCTGGAGTCTCGCCAAGAGCAAGTGGCATACCTGGGATATGGGTTGGTCTTCTTGTTCACCAAGGGGAAAGTGACAATCCTGGGGCTTTTCTTGCCTCCCTGAGGCTTCAGTTTTTTACTGTCTCCGCCTTTAGATATCCTGCCATCTGTGTCTTTGGATTAGGACCTTGTGCATTCCATTATCAGCCATTAGAGAGTGTACTAGTCTGGGTCCGGCTTTGTTGGAATTGAACATATATGTGCTGCTTTTCTTTGAGAACAGACACCATGGAGGGAAGCTGGGGGCAGGGTAAGAAGGATGGAAGAGTGGGCTTCCTTCGAGAGGCTTGAGTGATTGTGGGTGAAGGCAGAAAAGAGAGGGGTTAAAGACCTTGCCTCTACAGTTGAACATGGAAACCTCTGCAGGGAAATAGGGCAAACTATCACCCAGAAAAACACCAATAGATAGTCACCCTAAGAAGTCTGAGAAAGACCGTGGCAGACCTCCCCATAGTGGACATTGTGGGGAAGCAGAAGGAGGTCCCAGTTAGGATCAGAGACTGCAGCCTTCAACAGCTATGAGATGATAGCCAATTAGGGACTCTCCAAGTGCTTCCCACAGCCACCCAGTGAAGGGGGTTGCTGAGAAGGGGAGGAGGTAGAGGTGGCAGCTTGGAAGTGAAACAGCATTGCCAGGGTTTGGGGAAGCTCAGATGTCCTCAGAGCCAAAGTGCGTTTGCCATGATCTCTCAGTTTTCTGTCGTACGTGGGACTGTACCACCTCCTAAGAATATGCGGCTATTTCCCATCTGTCCTATTTGATCCTGTCCTCCTGACACTTGTCTGGGGAGGCTAGGGCAGGTCTTCTCTGCCAACAAGCAAGCAGAGCCAGAGTAAGTGGTGAAATGACAGCAGCTCTCAACCTGAAGCCCCCAGTCCAGGACCCAAATGGGCTCTGACCTCCCAAGGCCCTTTGTATGCTTCTCTCCTCT